AACTTAGAAAACATTCAAAATTCAAAACGTAATAATACCTTTAAATTCGGGATATAAAATAGTTTTACAGGAAAGCAAAGCTCATATTAATTTTATGCCGATGACGATAAAACAAAAACATGGAAATTAATGTGGGAAAACTGAATCCTAGCATATGATTTTTCCGACTGACTGGCTATAGACCTGATAAAGCGATCGCACCGTGGGCCCAGCCGAAGTCGTGGACCTACCTTAGAAGTGGGGCCCTATAAACCCATGTGATTTTGAACAACAACAACAACAAAAAAGCATTAAAAAAAACAATATAGTTTTAAAACATACCTTGTCATAATTTATTTTATTATTGGCATTATGAATAAAATATTTGTTAAGAATTTTATTTAATGAATAAGTCAGAAAGCTGCGTAAGGGCGTCACAATTTAAGCAACCATAGAAACTGCATCTTCAACCGTTATGCATAAAATTCTGAGTTTACAAACTTTTGAGTGAATAAATCGGGACCCCAACTACAAAATTTTGAGACCCTTTTCAAATTAGTCCTCTCTCTAAAAAAAAATGAGACCCCTTTTAAATCACTCCTCTCACTAAAAAAAAATTTAGACCCCTTTCAAATCTGTCCTCTCTCTAAAAAAATTTTTTTGAGGCCCCCCTCTCAAATCAGTCCTCTCCCTAAAAAATAAATTTGAAACCCCTTTCAAACCAGTCCTCTCTAAAAAAAAATTGAGACCCCTTTCAAATCAGTCCTCTAAAAAAATTGAGACTCCTTTCAAATCAGTCCTCTCTCTAAAAAAAATTTTTGAGACCCCTTTCAAATCAGTCCTCTCTCTAAAAAAAATTTGAGAACCCCTTCAAATCAGTCCTCTCTAAAAAAAAATTTGAGACCCCTTTCAAATCAGTCCTCTCTAAAAAAAATTTTTTTTGCGACCCCTTTTAAATCAGTCCTCTCTAAAAAAATTGAGACCCCTTTCAAACCAGTCCTTCAAAAAAAAAATTTGATATCCCTTTCAAATCTGTCCTCTCTCAAAAAAAAAATTGAGATACCTTTCAAATCAGTCCTCTCTCTAAAAAAAATTGAGATCCCTTTCAAATCAGCCCTCTCTCTAAAAAAAATTGAGACCCCTTTCAAATCAGTCCTTCAAAAAAAATTGAGTACCTTTCAAATCAGTCCTCTCTAAAAAAAATTGAGACCCCTTTCAAATCTGTCCCCTCTAAAAAAAAATTTTTGAGACCCCTTTTAAATCAGTCCTCTCTCTAAAAAAATTGAGACCCCTTTAAAATCTGTCCTCTCTCTAAAAAAATTTTTAAGGCCTCTTTCAAATAAGTCCTCTCTAAAAAAAATTTGAGACCCATTTCAAATCAGTCCTCTCTAAAAGAATTTTTTTGAGACTCCTTTCAAATCAGTCTTCTCTGAAAAAAAAATTGGGACCCCTTTCAAATCAATCCTCTTTTTAAAAAAAAATTGAGATCCCTTTCAAATCAGTCCTCTCTCTAAAAAAAATTGAGACCCCTTTCAAATCAGTCCTCTCTAAAAAAAAAATTGAGACCCCTTTCAAATCAGTCCTCTTTTAAAAAAAAAATTGAGGCCCCTTTCAAATCAGTCCTCTCTCTAAAAAAAAAAAGAAGGAAAGATATTCCTATACAAAATAATACTGTTTTATATTTTAATTTTGCACAAAAAATGAATATATTATAGCATTAACACAGCTTTATCAATGTTAATTTAAGAAAAAATAGGAGCTCCTTGAAAAAAAATTACATCATTCACAGTCAATTTTTCGTAATTCATTGGCGTGCGCACAGGTCTGATGGGTCCCCCTCACCCAATGTATCCTTAAAAACTTTAAGAATATCAGATTTTATAATCTTTAATCAAATTTAGTTAAAATCGGTAAAAATCAAAGCAATAAATTATTTTGTAGTTCTTTTTTCTTTTCTTCTTATTCAAACCTTTCCTCACTTGTTATTTTCAGCAAATGGTAAGATAATTAACGCCTTTTCAAAGAGGAAAAAAAAAGGGAAATTGAAGAGCTGTTACTTTGTTTCTTGAAATGCAGGACCACCTAGGAAATTGCTTAACTGAGATCGAATTTTAAGAACGTTTAGGTCGAACTTGAATGGAAAACAGCACGATGTTTAACAACTATTATTGAATTTTCTCACGTATAGTGCCCAGAGGGGATGAGGGGACATTTAGTTTCAAGACGATTTGTATGGAATATGTTGGCGGTCTCAACATTCTTTTCGTTCCACACATTTGTCTCCTTTTTCCTGAACTTATAGATGTAATGGCAATGATTATGACTCCTGAGCAGCAAAAAATTGTATTTGAGTTGAGTTGAGCTGTTTTCATCTATTCCTTTAGAAATGTATTTCGTAAATTGCTGCAACATCTCGAAATAATGAAATAAGTTGAGTTAAATCAACTGATTTTAAATTAGTTACTTAAAGATAACTAGTTACTTAAAGAGTAATATCTCAGGACACTCATAACAATGTGGGGCCGGGATAGCCTGGTTGGCAGGGCGCTGGACTCACGTTCGTGAGAACGGGAGTTCGAATCCAGCCGGCCAAAGACTCCTCGTATAGCTAATAGTGACTGGTGCACGTTAAATCTGTCGGTTCACAAAGCCCTCCATGTTTCTATAACAAATTATACCTCTGGGGGTACTGAATTGGAGATTGATCGCTCTCTGGTTCGAGTCAAAATTACGATCTGTGGATGAATGAATGTATGAATGGGTCCGCTCTTTAAACGGGTGTGACGTATGGGTGTTCCACAAGTCGAATTTTTGCCCATAGATGGCGCCACTCGAGAACAAGAAGAATCCCACCCTTTGCCTTAATGGTCTACAACAAAAAAAAAAACAATTCATTAGAATGCAGACATTTCAATATTTTTTGCTGATTCGGGGTTTTATTGTCTAGACGTTTAAAAAAAAATTTGTTTTCTTCATATATATAAATTCTTAAAAGTCAAAATGCATCTCACTGTGGAAAATTAAAAGCAAACATTTCTGATTCAGGTAATTTAAATATATATTGAGTAAAAGCTAAATCAATACTAAGCGAAATCAATAACACTTTATTAGCATTTCTAGAAAATTAAGGACAAAAAAAATTTATTACTAAATTAAGGACTAACTACTATTACTAAATTAAAAAATTAATTCTTTCCAGGGGCCCCGAATTCAAGTGCCCCCCTGTGCCCCTAACTCTCAGTTCAACCCTGTTTCCGACCAATGAAAATGTACCGAAAACTATATAAAACTGCGACACCATCATAGGAGTTTTATAATATATGTTAGAAAATTGCGGAAATTATTTCCTTATAAATGCACAACTAAATCATTGTTTTAAATTTTGTTATTAAGTGAAATTTGATATACATTTATTGTATACAACTCTGTCCAAAATATAGCTAAATTCTATAAAATAGTACATTGCATTCAATTTAAGTGACATTTGCATAAAAGTCGACTTTCCGTACTGGTTGGTGGCTCATATTCTTTGCGCGTTAAGTGAATTTATATTTATTCATGAATATAGAGCAGCACAGACTACAAGAGAACTTCTCTCTTAAGCATTGGAACAAACTAACCTTCACGGTGAACTTTTTGACTAACAGTTTACAAACTTT